CATGGCAGAAATTTGGAATGCTTCAGATTAGTTTTCTAAAGATGCAGACTACAAACAGACCCTGCGGGGCGGCTAGATAATTTTTAGTTGCAATTGTACAGAATGCATCATGTGAGAAAACACCCATTCGTGCTCGCAGCGGTAGCTGTGTTGTGAAAAGAGAATGCAGAGCCCTATAGCTTGACAATTATTGGAAAAATTCATGTAGAAAACATCCTGTCCAGGCTTTTAAAAAAGAAACAGAAGCAGCAATGCCCGTGTTGTAGGGTAGGCCTGCCCAGCATGCGGGTCGGGGTGGTGTGGTGTCCCTGGGGACGTCTGGTGTGCGAGAGCCCGGAACCGGTGCCTGAGCTCGGCTGGCCTGAAGCCGTGCAGCAAGGGGAGCTGTTGGACCTCAGGCACTTGTGAAAATCGGCTGCTGCCAGGCAAGAAACGTGCCCGGTGCTGGCTAGACATCCATTAGCTAATGGTGCGACTGCAGAGCTGCGGGGCAGCTCCGAGACACGCGCGCGGAGTTCCTCTGCTGGCAGTGCGAGTGCAGTGTAAAGGTATTGCTGCAAACTGGGTATGTGGCTATTCTAAAGAAATGACGTTGGAGAAGGGTAGGACGCAGAAGCTCTATAATTAAATACTAAATTAGATTTACATCACTTTTTTACATTCTTTTCAATAATCCTATGTGAAAGCAATTTCAAAGAGCGCATTTTGTGTCTTTAGTGCTTAGAAGACAATCTAGGCATTTAAATTAAGTATATGTTCATTTTAGTGTAATATTTATGACTTAGGTAATGTTAATGTCTATACTTTTAAATACTTATGTATACGCATATACATACCCACACAAAGAAAGATTGTGTTCCCTTAAGACTCATTTTTTTCTCTCAATCTGTGTAGTCTGGTGAAGATATTGCAATGTTGAGGCAGAGAAGTGGTGGGAATCGTGTAGCCTTTGAAGCTTTCTGGGTAGTGTAGTCCTTCTGGGCTAGGGAGCTGGGTTTGCTGAAGCTGCAGCCTGCCAAGGGCTCCGCACGGGGCTCAGAACTGAACTCCAAGATTCCACTTGGAGTAAAGATGAAGAGAACTCAAGATAAAGGCAGCTGAGGCAGGGCTGGTTTTCTGAAGCTTCTTAACAGCTTTTCACCACCCTTTTGATTAAAGAACAAATAAATTTTGCCCTAATACTGATGTACAAAAAATTCTCTAGTTTCATAGTTATTTAAACTAACAGAGGATGCACAATGTTCACTGCTTACTAATATTTTTCTTCTGTCAGTATGCGAGTAATGGGCAAGTAGATGTCATACGCCCAGAATGAAGGTGCTCTTGTGTATGCTGGATTCACATCTGATCATGTATGACCATATGATTGGATGTGCACCTCAGACTTGACCTAAACCCTGGCATTCTTAATCAAAGACGCACATATGTCCAGCTGTGTTAAGGGATGTATATTCGTGGACTAGTCATATCACACATGGCCAGCTACGTGATATAGGAAGGAGTCACCACTCTCAGGAGAAATAACAACAGGAACAGGATGTGGCTGCTTAGTCTGCCGCGGGTTTGCCTGTGGTTCCTTAAATCAAGGAGTATCGAATGGGCATCTGTTCAGGTGCTTCACGTCTTTAGGCTGGCTGCCCTTCCTCTGAAGAGATCTGTACTGAAGCTTTCGTAGAAGTGGTTGAATGTATCTTTTACTGGGAGAATTTGAAGGAAAGAAATAAAGGAATTCCAGTGGTTGGAGTAGATGACCATAGTAGCATGGATTTCCTGCCTGATAGAATCTATGAGTTCTGAATGGCGAATGGCATGAAATTACGTTTCCACTGATTTTGTGTACTAGATAAACCTTATTCAGTGTGTGTCAACTTGATCTTTCAAGGAATTTTTTGTATGAAATGTGTTCTACATATAATGGGTAAGAGGCTAAAACTACTGTTTTACATCCAGTAAATTAGTGGACTAGACAATGGTTTAAGTTTTCTATAATCTGTGTGTAAGGATTTATAATACATGCTAGAAATTAGTTTTAAGATTTCCCGTGCAGCTTAATTAGCCTTCGAAAGCAAGTGCATCATGATGTGATAATCAGGTGCATCATGACATACTTTTCCCCCTCCTTATTTGACATATAGAGTGAACTGTATATTTTACAAACAGCTACACACAACACACATACACACGGACGTTTTCTAACTTTTGTGTCGTTGGTTTTTGTCTTCCCCCCAGCCTGAATGATCGTCCTTGTAGTGGGAGAGTGATTGGCAAACATCAGTGAGCAGCCTTTTCAGAGGATGCATTGGTATCCCCTTTTAGAGATGAGAGCCAGGATGCAGATCGCTGCGAGACTTCGCGTGGCTCTCAGAGTAGTAGGTGCTGAGCTCAGCTCTCGGCGTTCTGTGGCCGCAGGTGCTCCGAATGGCTGTAAGTCAAGTGACATTGCTTCAAGCTGAGCACACAGAAAACGAGGAACCTACAAAGGTCACCTCTCTGGGAATAAATGGCTAGGATCATACAGAAAAACTGGTAGCTGAGGAGCTAGTATCCCATTAATCAATGTGTAGTGGGCTTGATTTTCAAGGGTCACCTGCTGCAGGCTCAAGACTGGTCTGTCCCAACAAGCAGGAAATCAAGCATAGGCAGCAGGAGGCCTGTGTAGATGAACAAGATAGACCTGAGTAAACTCAGATATAAAAAAGTAAGGGTACAGGAGGTGGAAACAGGGACAGGTGACCTAGGAGGAATATAGAGGCACTGCCTGAACTTGCAGGGGTGGGATTTGGAAAGCTAAAAAAATCTGGAGTTGGATAAGTCAAGAGACTTGAAGGGCAATAGGAGGGCCTCCTGCAGATATATCAACAGAAAATGAGAGTCTAGGGAAAATACGGATTCACTGCTGAAGGGGCAAAGGATCTGCTAACAAAGGACATGGAAAACAACAAAGGTGCAGTGCTTTCTCCTAGGTCGTCACTTAAGGCCCTCTGTGATGACATGGCTGGCTTCATGGAGAGAAGAGCAGTGAATGTAGTTTGCCTTTTGATATTGTCTCTTATAACATTCTCATAGAAAAGCTGATAAAGTGTGGGCTAGACAAGTGGACAGTGAGGTTTTAAGTGGTTATGATCAGCAGCACAAAGCCCAGTTGGGGACAGTAGCCCAGGGGTTGATACGGGGTCTGATCCCGTTTAATGTCATGCTAATAACTGGCGTGTTGGCCAGAGTGCTCTCACGCTAGGTCTGCAGATGATACAAAACCGTGAGGAGTGGCTTGTGTGTTGGATCGTTGGTGCTGCTGTGCAGAGGGACCTCCACAGGCTGGAGAAACTGTCAGAAAGGCATTTTGTGAAGTTCTAGAAGGTCCTGCACCCGGGAAGGAGTAACCCGTGCCCCGTGACGTGCTGGGGGCCAAACTGCTGGAGAGCAGCTTTGCAGAGGAGGCCCTGGAGGTTCTGATGGACAACAAATTGAGCGGGAATGCCCCCTCGCAGGAAGGAAGGAAGAACACGTGTATCCTGGCTCCTGCAGCGCCGGCTGTTTGAGGACTGTAATCCTTCCTCTCTACTGCCTGCTCGTAAGTCGTATCTGTGTGCTGGGTCCAGCTCTGGGCTTCCCAGTGCAAGAGAGCCTGGAGCGAGGCGCAGAGGAAGAGGGCAGTTGTGAATGACCTTGAACCACGCGGGAGTTTCTCGTGCAGGTCACTGAACAGCTGAAACTGATAGTAGAAAGCAACTCTGATTAGGGTGCAGTTAGGGAACCAGAGGGTCCTGTACAACCAAAAAGCACATCAGGAGGAAAAGTAGAAAGAGTGTAATTGCCCCAGGTATGGGTAATTTCATTAATCTTCTGTGTTTATTTAGTGTTAATTATAAGTAAATTTTAGTATGCATTTTTCAGTACAGGCAATTTGTGAATATAAACAGAATTATTGAATCATTTTAGTTTAGAATAAAAACTATGTGTGAATGTAGTCATTGTTCAAACATCTTCCAAATGAACTGTTTCACTACCACTGGGATTAATATTTAAGTTTTCGGAGTTTTTATAGGAAACTTAGCCTGTGTATTTATATGTTAGCAAACTATTAATTGTTACATAACTTTAAGCCTGTGTGTTTATCTGTCTATTAAAAGAAGAAAAACTCAAAGAGAAAGAATTTTTTATTTGTATATTAGGCATATATAGCACAGGAAAATAGATTTTTATATATGGATCAGAAGATACAGGTTATGGAACAGTACAAAGGCTCTAAGCAAGCATCCTTTTAAATATTTGACTTTCCTTTGAACTCAGTGATAAGTTAATGCTAATTTTTACTTAGAACTGATCTATTAAATATTTCGTGTACCATATGTCAATTCTGAAGTGTTTGCAGGATAGCAATATTTCTGTTGTGTGTTGCCCAGAATTACTGATATTACTGGTATGTTATTGTCCTTTTTGCTTTTTTTGTTTTGTTAGTGCTCACATTTTTCTCTCAGTGTCTTCCATATTAAATATTTACTTATCTCAGTATGTTTCTGGAGGCTTGCAAACTATTAACAAAAGATCATTCAGCAGGGAGAGATGGAAGAGTTTTTTTCTTTTTCTTTTTTTCTGTTTGAGTTTGTGTGCTCAACTTCTAGATCCAAGTACATCAACATACCTGTATTTCATTTCATATTGTCATGAAGCAGGAGAGCTGTTAAGGTGTACTCATGAGTTCAGCAAATTCTACAGTTACTGTTCACCACCGTGGCTTTACCGAGCATCTTGACTGCATACGTTTTATCCACATAACCTGATATCCACAAACATGATTAAAAAGGCTGAGGGATTTTTGTTTTTAAATCAACATGACTTGTTTTTGTGAGCAATACAAATGCACTGGGTTAATATTCACAACAGGTGTTATTCAAATTTTTCCTTTCTTGTCATGAAGTTTTTTTAATCTTGTATATTTCTCTATTTATATT